TTGAAGTACTATTGTTAACAGGGAATAATGTGTAAGTTCGTATTTAATCATCCGATCTTAACTGTATGAACAAATTATCAAATTGTTTCGTCATGCTTTTCTAACAATATTGTACACTCTATAGTCCTGCATCTATTAATATTTTTGGAATATTGGTCAGTCAGCTGAATTGGTTTTCAATGATTTTTTTTTTTTAAGCTTAAACGAATTCTTTGCATATGTGCGTCGTACGTACGTACTTATCTGTTATGTATGTTGGCGTAAATTAGAACAGATTTACTGTATCAGGTATGATGCATAAATTATGCAATACTACGTGGGGTTCGCAGATTTTTTCAGATTTTCCTAAACTAATAACGATAATAACTTCTTAAGATATACGCAAGTAAATAATAATTAATCTGTAGCATTCAATTAAACTGTATATTAGTCTTCTAAATAGTACTGTACGTACTGTTTAGCATTAATTATAGTACCCCAGATTTTATTCAAAATTTTCATTTTTTTCTTTTATAGTATTGTGGATACTTGCATAGGACCATGATACTATATTTGGATAAAAATTGCACGAAATGAATGTAGTTACGTACGTACTCGTTGTTTAAATTTCAGTTCAATATGCAAAAAAATTTGAAAAAAAAATGCATGTAATGATATGATAAAATGCATCTTGCATATGTGCATTGCATATCTCCGCAAATAGATTTGATGATAAATGCTCAGTAGGAGTAGTGATGGTAAAGTGTTTCAAGATTTTATTTCAAGATTTTAATTTGTAACTTTTCTCTACGAGTCTATTAGTAAAGGGGTAGTAATGTATTTGTCTAATGTCATAAGCAGGTCTAAAGACGTTTGCGTTTTCAAAAAGTACTTAAATTGTATAAATAAGTTGCCCAGGTAATTGATTCAAACCAGCCAATCAGAAGAATGCCCCTGCACTACCGACCGCGTGAAATATAGCTGTGCTACTGTTAAAATTATCCGAATTTCATAAAGTCGAATACACACGAATACAAATATAGTAAATATGATTCTTCAATAGAGATATGAAGATATGAGCATATTCATTCATATGGTACGTATTTAGTAATTAAAGAAGTTAAATATTTAAATTATGATTTATTGCAGTTTGCAACACGTACGAGTTATTTCTATATTTTTGTAAGATTATGTAGCACGAAAATGGCTAATTTTAACTTTGATCTATGTGGGATGGGACCCGTAAAAATTTAAATCTTATAAATATTATAAATACGGAAATCTTATCCATTTTTCCTAAAATGGACACTCTCGCTTCAATTTTTTCGCACAATTCTTCATCACCCTCTATTATTATTCCTAATGGCGGTCCAACATTTTCCTATCCTGGATTACGTGACCATATCAAACCTTTTCAATCTATATTATCGGAAAATTTTGATTTGAAGCCTCAGGATGTAGTATCTATAGTATTACCAAATTCATTAGAATTTACTATCTCGTTCCTTGCTATTACTTTACTTCGTAATGTTGCTGCACCTTTGAATCCAGGTTATACTGAGAGTGAATTTAAATTTTATTTTGAGGATTCAAAATGTAAATTAGTCATCTTACCAACGGGTTGGTTACAACAAAATAAACCTGCTGTAAAAGCTGCTGCCCATTTTAATATTGAGATCTTGGAAATGAATTGGGATGATCCTAGTAAAAGCATGAAAACTTACTTTCAAAATAAATCCATTCTTCGTAAAAATGTCGAAAATCATCATTCATATCCGTTGGATGTTGCTCTTTTGTTGCATACTTCTGGGACTACCGGAAGACCTAAAGGTAGAATTTATTTATTAATCGTTTTGTTTATAAATATTATTCACGTGATTCGAATTTTCACTGGTACGTTAGGTGTTCCGCTTACTCATAAAAATATTACTACGACCATGAAAAATATTGGAAGGACTTATAAGTTGGTTCCTAATGATCGTACTCTATTAGTAATGCCACTTTTTCATGTCCATGGATTAATTGGCGGAATGCTTTCCACATTGTTATCTGGTGGAACTGTTGTGATCCCACCAAAATTTTCTGCATCTACATTTTGGAACGATTTTTTAGAACATGGATGTACTTGGTATACAGCTGGTAAGAAAATATTATATCTTAAAATTTATCATAATTATTTGTTACTAACGCCAACATTATTTTATCAATAAATTTCAGTTCCTACTATACACCAAATTCTTTTACGTCATCCTCCACCTAATAGAGGTGCTCCAAAGCTTAGATTTATTCGTTCATGTTCATCATCACTTGCTCCAAATATATTATTTGAATTAGAAAAAACTTTTAATGCACCAGTACTTGAAGCTTATGCCATGACTGAAGCTGCACATCAAATGACTTCAAATCCATTACCTCCTTTAAAACATAAACCAGGATCAGTGGGAATTGGTCAGGGTGTTCAAATTACCATATTAGATGAAAATGGAAAACAAGTAGAGGAAGGAGAAGTGTGCGTTAAAGGTGTAAACATTACGCCAGGATACATGAATAATCCTAAAGCTAATGAATCATCATTTACAAAAGATGGCTGGTTCCGTACAGGCGATCAAGGCAAGTTTGATGAGGAAGGATACTTATATTTAACAGGACGAATCAAAGAATTGATTAACCGTGGAGGTGAAAAAATATCACCTTTGGAACTTGATTCCGTCCTATTATCACATCCTACAGTTTCAGAAGCAGTTTCATTTGCAGTTCCTGATGATATGTACGGTCAAGAAGTTCATGCTGCTATTGTTTTAAAACAAGGGCAAAGTGTAACTGAAAAAGATTTACAAATATTTTGTGGAAATAAAGTGGCAAAGTTTAAAGTACCAAAAAAAATTTATTTTATTGATACGATGCCAAAGACAGCGACTGGTAAAATTCAGAGAAGAAATATTAGCGAAAAATTGTTTAAGCCGGATAAAATTAAATCTAAATTATAAATATAGTAATGCCTATGTTTATTTCTCTAAATTAAATCTTTATACAGTATTACGTACTTGATTTGTTTAATCACTTTTAAGCCATTAAATATCATGCTTTACCTTACATTAGTCTTCTACAAATGGTTGAAAAGAATAAATTCGACGAACGATTAAATTTATTATTTATAATAAATTATAAAATTTTCAAAAATATACTTTTATTTGTTTTATTTATTTTTTTTAAAAAAAAAGCAATAAAAAAATTTTTTATTTAAATAACATATCGATGAAAACGTTTTTTCTAAACATAACCAACTGACCTAACATTATAACGCATCTATGAAATCAAGAATCATCACCAGCGATTGCTTTCCGGGCAAATTTTTTTGTTAAATAAGACCATGCATCCGGGAAAACACCCTCCATCAATCTTCCAATTTTTCCTTCGGTAGTAAATACAATTTCTTTATCACCTCTGCAAACACCTTTATAAATTATATTTGCACATTCATCAGCCGACATCGCGCCCTTCATATTTAATGGTTTTGAATTTTTACCTAGTCGAGCGTCATTTATGTTAGTAACGACAGTACCCTAAAATATATAAATTTTCTTATGTTAATATCATGAACATACAGTACATACAGTATATATTTACTTATTATTATTATTATTTTACCGGATAAGCCATAACAACAAACATTTCATATTCCCAAACTTCAAGTTGTAAACTTTCAAAAAATCCTTTAAGAGCAAATTTCGAGCCACAATATCCAGTCCTCAGCGGAGCGGAAATAAATCCCAACAATGAATCAACCACCACAATTCTACTACCTTTATTATTTTTTAAAAGTTTTAAAGCTTGATACGCGACATTCGTTGATCCAAAGTAATTAACGTCCATTATGTCTTTAATGATTTTATAATCGGAGATACTTTCAAATGGTTCACCCATAGATACTCCTGCATTTAAAATTAAGCAATCCAATTTATTAAATGAATCTTCTGTAGCTTTGATTAAATTTGAAACTTCATTTTCATTAGTGATATCGCATTTAACAGTTATCACTTTAGTTGCTCCATATTCTCGACATTCATTAGCCACATTAGTTAAATATTCTTCTCTTCGAGCGCATAAAACTAAATTTGATCCTTGTTTCGCGAATACGTGTGCTAATGATCGGCCTATTCCGCCTGAGGCACCAGTTATTAAAATAACTTTATCTTTCGCAGGCCATGGCTGTGCTAATTTACGCCTTTGATGACGGGCATACAGATCGAACAAATAAAGAAATGGATATAATATTGTAAATAATGCAAACATTGATGCTTCACTAAAAAAAACTATCGATAGAAGGCCAATAACAGATAGGATAAAATAGGTAATCATACGGATGATTTTTATTATTATTATTATTATTATTTTTTTTTAAAAAAAAAAAAAGACATGAAAATGAAAATCCATGCATTATATATATAAATTAAATTACTACGTAGAAATGATTTTTGACTTCATATGATAACAGTTGATATTGTCACTTTTACGTAAAATCAGCCGACGCATTAAGTATGTATGTACGGCACGGGAAATAAAATTTTTCCGTGCCCCAAACCCTAGTAAATATGGTTGAAATAAAATGGCTTTATACGCAATATTATTATTATTTAGCTTAATTAAGGGTACACAGCATGTCGATATATGTATTTTGTTCATTCAATTATTAATCGAAAAAGCCGAATTTACTGTGGGTAATAATAACTTTCATATATACTTTTTTTTTCGAACTAACATAATAATTGTGGTTTTGTATTTGAGTGTCGTCAACAGTTTCTAAAATAGATTATGATTTTCATAATAATCTATTTAGAAACTGCCCTTTTCCCTTGGCATTTATCCTATTTTTGATAATTTTTTGAAAATGTAAACTATAGATACAGGCATTTGAAGACGTCTAATTGACGTGTCATTAATTCAAAAGTACTATAATGACATAGAACGCAATAGTTGACTTAGGACGCAACATTGATATTTTTTTTTATAAATAAATAATCACGTGTTTTCGTATTATTTCAAACTATTCTGATTGGCTAAAAAAATTCTACGTCATAAATTTATTATGTAGATAATCAACCAACGATTAAAATTTCCACAACTAGTTGGTTTTTCAACTAACGATTTGGCAATATATAACGACATGACGCAACGATTATTCTCTCGAAATACAATCGTTAAAATAAACGAATTAAACTTCATACTTACTCTGATAAGTTATCGAATGATTAAATGATTACAATTAATCATATTCTCTCGAAACGCAACCGTTAAAATATACAAATTTTAATCCTAAGTGCACACCCACAGCCGGAAAGATTTAAGAAGAGTTAACCCAGTGATCATCACAATACCACATGACTATCATTCGGCCTAGGTTAGGGGTTAGGGTTAGTTTATGAGCATAGTTTAGGCCAGTCTAAACAAATGACGTCATGATATGTTTATCAAATGATTGGTTAAAGTGTCCCCTACAGCCCGAGCTTGGGACTTAAATGCCCTTTGTTATGCTCAAATTTCTTTTTTTAGTTAGTATCATTATTTTATCATATTTTTATGTACTTCTTATTTTGGTATGGTTTGTGGCATAGCGGGGGACCCTCAGCGAGGGATAATAACCCTCAACGAGGGATAATAGCCCTCAGCGAGGGATTAAAACCCCACACGAATTAAAGATATATAAGGGTGTGGTTTCAGTCTGCGAACAGTAGTTAGAACAATAATTAATGAGTTAATAGTATTTTGAGTATTATTGTAATATTCCGATGTATTGATTTATATTAATAAAGAGAAACCTTAACCCGTAATTATGTGTGTTAGTTTATCGATTTAAACCATTTAACTTTAACCACTATTTGTCTACGATCGAAGCTAAATTGGTCCAAGAGCCTATAAGCTCTCCCACCGATCGTAACACCTCCATATTCTGCATGTGCACAAGTTTTAGGAATCTAAACATATATATGCACCCTCTAAATGCGTGTATGCGACTACTGGCCAATAATAATACTGCACCTATAATCGATTTTTGATCAATCGCAAATAGTCGTTACATAGTAAAGCCTAAATTTTACTATGTAAATCGAATTCTATCCCTTTAGTAAACTTATTCGGAGATCAAAATACATATATATTGAATTTTCATCAAAATCGGTGTACTTTTCATTATTTGACTTTTAATTTTTAAATTCAACAAATATATTTTTTAATTTTTTTCGTTGAATGTAAAAATTAAAAGCCAAATAATAAAAAGTTCCGAACAAGTTTACTTACATAATAAACTTTGAACTTTACTATGTGGCGACCATTATCGATCATGGGGTAGATCATGTGTTTGACTTCACTTTTAATTACACTTATACCTGGTCACTAGAGCAGTGTTGTTTTATAAATGAACCCAGCACCTAAAAAAATATACAATTATATATTTTTTAAAATTATTTATTGATTATTTAAACTTGGAACATAGGCTTTGATGATTTTGGACAATCTTGGATGTTGAACATTAGACATATATCCCATATACAACACTGCCCTAGAGCATGCACTTAGGGAGTGTGATTGTAAGAATAAAAAACAATTTATAATAGTAATAAATATTGGGATCTTATTTAATATAGGTGGGAATATATAAATATTATAAGATTATTTAATATAAAAAAATTTTAACTCTAACCTAAAGCTAATTATAAACTATACTATGATCTCACCCTAACTATAACTATTCTCAAATCTGTTTAGATTAGTTCAAATAATTATTTTTGTATTAAATAATTTTATAATATTTATATATTTCCACCTATCCCTTAAGCTGTAGAGTTTGTGTAACAATTTTAGTTTAAAAATAGCATAAATTTAGTTATGATTTATTTTTTTTAATAT